TTTATATTTGTATACCTTGTGTTTTAGGTTTATTTAAAATCTATACCTTTAGTTTTCAATCTCACAAAATGTATACCTTCAGATTAGATTTAATATACAAATATATACCTTATCTCGGTCAATAATTGATTTTGACCTTTAAAATGAGTATACTATCCTTAAGAAAAAGGAAAAAAACACAAACTTTCTAATATTGTGATAATTAAAAATTAATAACACAAAAAAAAAAAACCATTTGAATGGTATTTTACATATTTTAGAGGTCAAAATTGTGAGTTTAAATTTTTTTTTTTTTTTAGGTTTTTTCCTTTTTCTATGTTTTCATTTAAAGGAATTTTAGGTTTTTTATTCTTAAGCAAAAGGGTATTTTAGGTATTCTTAAGGTTAAAATTGAGGATTGACTGTGAAAAAGTATAAATTTTGGTATTGAATGTATATATTTGATGAGATAAAAAATTAAGGATATAGTTTTTAAATAAACCCAAAACACAAGGTATAAAAACGTAAATATCCCTTATGTTTTTTATGTTCACAAGATTGTGCCTCCTAACTTCAATTCATGTCAAAACTTTTAGTTTATGGATAAATATATAATTAAATACTAATTTTGCAAATTTTCTCTTTACAGCTTAGCTTGAAAATAGAACTTTAAAGATTTTTCTTCTCTGTTTTTCTTTTTATTTTTTTAAACAATCATATAATTCTTCTCACAAGTTCATACCTAAGCGACAAAGGGAAAATTCATCAATTCACCGATAAAAATCAATTTTCGACCTTGAAAAAGTATCAATTTGACATAAATTTAAAATCCGAAAACACAAATTTGAGAACACCAAAATACATGGCATTCGTGTTCAAAAATAAAAAATAAAAAAAAAAATACATGGCATTCTTCTTTAATAAACTCAAAATGAAGGGTGGGTATAAAATAGTAAATCTCCAAAAAAAAAAAAAAAAGAAATACATGACTCAAACATTTCATCAAACACTTACCGTCATGTAAATGGGTCCACGGTATCCACAAACTTCAGTGAAGTAAGGAAGAGCACCAACATGATCCAAGTGACTACAGAACACCCCCAAAACACCATAAAAATACACACACAAAAAAAAACCCCATCAGAATCGAAAAGCCCATCAAAATCAGACAAAAAGACAAGAATCGCGAGATTCACAAATGGGTGATGATGATGCAATCAAGGGCGTCGTCGAAGTTCGAGCCTTTGTCGGGCATGGGGATGAGAGAGAAATCGGGGTATCGGCGATGGTCGAGAAAGCCCATGTGCATCCCGCAGTCGAACATGATTCGCTTCCCATTGATGGACACCACCACGCAGCTCTTTCCCACCTCCTGCCCTGCGCCTGAAAAGCGGGAGTTTTGTGAGTGTTTGTCGATTTCAAGATCGGAGAAGAAAAGGCGATGAGAGATTGAAGAGTGAAAAAAAAAAGCTAGAGGGTTACCGAGGACGAGACAGTCGATTGCCATGAGAGCAACTTTTCTTGGCGCGCTTTTTAGTTTCAAAAGTGTTTTCTCTCTCTTGGTTTT